CCCAGATCCGGCGGATGTGATGGTCCATCGACCGCCTCACGCCTAGTGTCGTAGGACCGAGCTCGTCTCGCGCCCGGTTGCAGGACCGGCCCGTCTCGCGCCCGGCAGCAGGACCGCGCTCATCTCGCGCACAGTGCAGCAGAACCACTCGATGGAGGCTAGTTGTGGCCGGCCTATTGGGTCTCGGCGCTGGGTCCGACCAGGGGTGCGAAAGGCGGGTCCTTTCCGCTCGTCTCTTCGGTTGGGGTAGCGGCGGGTCTCGGGTGACTTGGTGTCAAGGTCTTGGATTCCGGGGCGGCGGCCCTGGTGGTGGTGGCGCGATGCTCATGAGCAGAGCTCGTGCCTCGGTGCTGCCCGGTTGCCACGGCCGTGTGGGCGGCATGGTAGCCGGGGTGTGGCGTTCGGTGGCGGTGAGTGTTGGCCGGGGTGAAAACCTGTTCTATCTTCGGACGGACTGGCAGCGGCGAAGAGCGCTCCCTTCTTGAAGGCGTCGTCGCGGCTCTCATTGCCCGTCGTGTTGCTCCAGGGGAAACTCTGATCCTCGGATCGGGCGGTGGCGGTGCTCCGGTGTCGTATCCTTCCTGAAGGCGCCGCCTTGGAGCCCACGGTTCCGTCATATGCGGCTTCACTTCTTCGCGGTGGCGTGTTCACGGTTGAAGCCCCCGGCGACTCTTGTAGTGCTAGGGATTGTGTTGTTGCGCTCAGCGCCTATGCATCCTACCTTGGGTGTGTGTGTGCGTGTGTTGTGGGTGAGTGCGGTTGTACCGGGCGCTGTTAATCATGGCTTTATATAAAGCGGGGCGAAAGCCTTTTTCGGTAAGAAATTATGGTAATCTTCTCCACCTTCAAAGAATCTTAAGAACCGAGGAAGCATATCGAGGTTCATGACATGATGGCACGCGAATCTTGACAGCACGCCGGCAGGATGAGTGGATGGCATGTGAAGCTTGACAGGATGCACAGGTCGATGACATGAGGAGCTTAGTGGCATGACCGAACGAGGAGCTCGATGGCAATGTCATGGGGCGAGCTTGATGGCGTGTGGAGGCTGACAGCATGACAGACCTTGGAAGGAAAGTGTGGTTGACTGCATTTTAGCTCACAGCACAACATAGCGAGATACCTTGTCAGCACGAAAATTGTGACCGGTATGGACTTAGCAGTGGAGGAGAGCGTGGAAACAGGGTAGCCTAAGGAACCCACCTCCAAGAAAATAACAATTAGAAAGAAAAGATAAAGTAACTACTCCCTGCAGTTCCCTAACTGGTCATTTTGGACATTGACACAATTTCTACAACAAAACTTTGACCACCAAATTTTATAGCAATATATTCATAACATTCGACAAAATCATGTATGCGTTTTATGAGGAGAACTTATGCACATGATTTTCAAGTATCTAATATAAATATTTTCAAAGGCATTAGTACTCAAAGTTCTCAAAGGTTGAAGCAGTCTATGTACAAAGGACCACTTAAATGGGGGTGGAAATTACTAAGGAGCACAACTCCTGAATCTAAGTAATAGACGAAAGGGTTATTTCTTTAGCTGATAAAATCAAGCATTGCTGGTGCCAAAATACAGTGGTTCTTGTGCTACAGTACCACACGTGAATAGCAGCATCCTTCTATCCTGCCTTGCTATAGAATCTTTGGCAATAACACATGGATATTTTGTTCTTGGTACATATAAATACCACTACAGCTAAGTGACTTCTATCAGCAAAGTCAGTCATCATATAGTAATTGCATGATTAAGGCAATAGTTACCTTCCACTTGCATAAGCCCATCAAGTTCAAACTCAGCAACCGATACTCCTTTCATTAGCTCAGACTCCTTCACGAGATAGTCCTTTTCAGTTTCAGAATGCTTCACTATTTCTGACTCTGTTTCCCTGGTCCTTTGTATATTCTGTTCAATCTCTTCATTGACCTAATTAAGGGAATGATCGAGAAAAGAAGAGCATAGTTAGCCTCATAAGATGTATAACGTTGAAATTCCACATGCTAATAACATCTAATGAGTATATAGAAAATTCATTATTCGCATCCAGATTCAAATAGCCACATTGCCAGAGATACACATCTATACTCCTACATAGTGTATCAATGTGAACAATGATAGGTACACCCTATACTGTCCCCAACACATTCTGCATGACTTGCATGCCATTGATTCAATATATCGGACGGTGAGAAATGCTCTGGACACTTCAACAATGTGACCGTACAGCTGCAAATCCCTGAATTCTGGGCCGTTGATTGGTCGAATCGGACAGCTACTGTTCTCCATATGTGGTGGACCAAGTTCCAGAAATTTGAAATTTCAAGCACAGGCTGGCAGCCTCCTGACACAGTTCCAGAAATTTAGTAAGTATTATAAATCCATATACGTCCAATAATTTTACATCATGTTCGCTTAACAGCCAGGACCAGGCATTCCTTCTACAAGATAATACTTACTAAATTATTCGTTGTAATGAGATGTGCTCTCATACATAGACCAATAACTAGAAAGTTAGCGGCAACTGTTAAGATATTCCTATCAACCAACTATCCCAAAAGACCAATCTGATAGGAAGAGTAGATATAATATACCTACCCCCCCCCTCCCCTCCTTCCCCTTCACATCCGATGTGGATATGGAATGATCAACACCTCCTTCCCATGCCGGACGTGGTGTGGATAAATGATTGGGGAAAGGGAGGACCGAGACTTGAACCCAAAACCTCAAGTTCGATAGCATGTCAGGATATTCCTATCAACCAACTATCCCAAAAGATCAATCTGATAGGAAGAAGAGATATAATATACTCCCTCTGTAAAGAAATAGAAGAGATCTAAACACTCTTATATTTCTTCACAGAGGGAGTACTTAACAGCAACAAGTCATATGTTCTGTTTGGGCAACTATTTCATGAATACATGTAGCCAACATATTAGTCTACCCCATAAATTCATATTCCTAGGATGTTTTCTTGTAAGCACAAAACATACCAATAGAGGGGGGGATAAGGACCTTGGCAATACCATAATGATAATTATGATACTGCAAACCTTATAATAAGTTATAAAAAAACAATTGATATCAAGCAAAAGTACATTAGGTCAGCCAAAACGCAAACTTCACAAAGACAATAAAATGACACAATAGCAGGTAGAATGACTGAATTTTCATCCGCCCTCAAATGCTAGAATAACACAAACTACTTGTCATGTTTTCTTCAACGAGCTAATGTAAGACAGAGTAGAATCAAATTCTCACAAAAAGTCAAGTAACAGAGAATGACCAGAGAATAGATAGAGAGGGAAGAAGACAAACTGGGATGAGTTGGCCATGGCGGCCGCCAGAGCTTCGAGCCGGCGGCGGCCGCTGTTGGAAAATGCCCACTCTCCACTCGCCAAGTGGCTGACCCATGCAGACCGATTCGCCCGGACCTCAACGTCCGCGTGCACTACGTGCGCATCTCTCCCTGCATGCTAGGATAGCTAGCTTATCGCTTGTAACCACTCACGATCTTCCTGCTCCCTCTCTCTCTTGTAACTCTATATGTACAGCCGGCCGCAGTGAATAGAGCAGTGTGAGTGTTTTGCATAACCTAACTTGGTATCAGACGCGAGCATCTCCGATCCTCCTTTTTCTCTCCGCTTCCGCCATGAACCGCCTCCTTCGCCTCACCCGCTCGGAGGACTTCGACTCGCCGGCGACCGAGCCCTTCGCCGCGGTCCCTCCCGCCACCGCCACGCCCGCCGCGGCCCGTCCTGCCCCCGCCGTGGTCCCCGCGACCCGACGCGCGCCCCTCGCCGACCGCGGCAAGACGCCCGTCCCCAGCGGCGTTGGGGCCTCGTCCTCGTCTACCCCGGCCCCTCGCGTCCCACCACCCGCGGGCATCCTCCGGACCGCGGGCAGCACCGCCGTTCCCCGCCTCCCGCTGGGCGGCCCCGGCGGCGCCGTCGTCCCGCACCGCGGCCTTGGTGCCCCCGACGCCGGCCCCTCCTCCGTCGCCGGCCTGCCGCCCTCCATCGCGCACTACTTCGCCGGCAAGCTCCAGCTCGAGTCCGGTAACTACTCCCGGTGGCGACAACTTTTCTATATCATCTCTTGCAAACATGAAGTGCAGCACCACCTTGATGTCGCCACCGCGCCGCTCGATCAAAGCGCCATCTAGCGTAATGATGATCTAACCATGGTGCTGTGGATGCACGGCGTGGTCGCCGAAGAGCTCATGGACGTGGTGGCATCCCCGGACAGCTCCGCCTACGACATCTGGACGCAACTCCACCTCCTCTTCTGATGAGGACATGACTACCTTGGATATGACCAAAAATATTGCATATATGCATATTTGTCAGGTGATTTCTAGTGCAAACTATTCAATAATCTATTTATGTTATCCAGAACAAAAATACTTCACACATTTTTGTGTTTTGTCTAATTGCAGGTGTATGGAACATTTGTACAATCCACATATGAAGATAAGGAAGAAAGAGATGTTTATTTGCTGTCCAAAAAGTTCTCTCACGTCACTTTTGGCCCAAGAGAAGATAGAGTCCAAGTCTCTCACGTTCTGGATTCAGATTCGGACTGCACAGACACACCTGACTCAAAACGCACACAAGTTTTTCATACGGACTCCGAATTGGGTGATTCTTTTTTTCTTGGAAACTAGATTTCGTGCACTTTCCAACCCAATTGGAATCACCTTCAAATTCGTCCGGAGCGTTGAGTTGTGGACGAAACAATCTGATGCTGCAGCAGAATCCGAGTCAAACTACAAGTCCAAAGGTGTTACATCACCTCCACTTGGGCCCATTGGCCTTGTACGACCTAGATTTAGTTTTAGGCTGCCTGGGGACGTCCTCCCACCTCCTTGGCCGCCACCCCTTGCTCCTATATAAGTAGATCCATCTAGTAGCTTTTCCTGGGGATTTGTTTAGTTAAAAGTTAGCCATTGCAACTTCGTGTACTTCGTTTGTGTCCAACGACCAGACCAAGACCGCTTCCGGATCCCCACCATTATCAATACCTCATATATATTTGCAATATTCAGATTGCTTTATCATATTCTTGCTCGTTCTTCGATTGCTTGCAGGAATAGACCTTCGTGGTCAGGCTGACCGTGCTTCCGGCCTCGTCAGTAACCTCAGGAGATTGGTTTAGCGATTGCTAAGGCGCAACGTCGTGCACGTTTGTAGTCGGATCGTCAAAGTCGTCTCCACCAAATCGATAGTTATCATCTCATCGAAAGATCGGGACACCCCTGCCTCTATCATCTTCATGGACAACCAGCCGGGGCGCGCCGTCGTCCTCGGCGCGGAGTTCCGAAACTTCGTCCAGGGCAATCTCTCCATCGCCGAATACAGCCGGCGGCTGAAGACCCTGGCCGACGCACTCGAGGACGTCGGCGAGCACATCTCCGATCAGGCCCTGACGCTACAGCTCATCCGCGGCCTGAACCGCAAGTTCCAGATCATGGCGACACTTCTTCCCATGCAGTCGCCCTTCCCCTCCTTCGTGCAGGCGCGTTCCCGTCTTCTCATGGAGGAGATTTCCGCGAACGAGAGGGCGCGGTTGGATGGCCGTCCAGAACTCCTGGCTGCGGCGCTCACCATCGGGCAGGCGCCGCTTGGCGGCTCCTCCGCTGATCGCGGCCCTGACCGTGGCGGCTCCTCCAACGACAAGGGCAAAGGCCCTGCTGCTTCCCCAACCAGCGACAACAGAGGCCCACGCGGGCATGGTCGCGGCCGCGGCCGCGGCCGCGGTGGCCAGTCGTTCGGTGGCGGCCCTGCCGGCCGTGCCGCGCCTCCCTCCGGCCCAGCCTCACAGATCTCCACGGGCTACTTTGCTCCCTACGGCGCCCTCATTCCCGGCCTGCCTGCACCCCGTGCACCGTGGGCCGCCCCCAACGCCGCCGGCGTTCTAGGCCCGCGACCTCCTGCACCTCACCAGGCGTACCCGGTGGCCGCCCCTTCATCGAGCGGGCCGACCTGGGAGCAGTACAACCAGCTATACGCTGCTCTCCAGGGGCTCTCCATCCAGCAGCAGCAAGCCAGCGGCGCGCCGGAATGGTTCCTCGACACGGGCCCGCTTTCTCTCTCGAAGCCGCCTAGCCTCGCAATGGCTACACCCAGAGATTCTAAACGGGCGCCTAATCGGCCCGCGCCGCCAACTCTAGTGTCCCGTCAATCCATTCGTCATCTCATACTTGCCGGCGACAAATCAATAAACTGGGCGTAGGAATATCTAGACAGCTGCAAAATAAAATGAAAGCAGCAAGGGAGCTCGGTGAATTGTGGACCTTGTCAAGCATGTCCTTGAGGGAGGAGATGTGGCGGAGGATGGCGCCTGAGTCCTCCGCCATCGGGGAACCGGCGGCGCGAGCAGAATCGTCCCCTTTTTTTCCTAGATCGAAAGGGGGACTTGGAAGGACTTTTTATTTCGCCCCGCTTTATATAGTACTGAATCTGTTCCTTTATAAAGTGTATTTGTTTTTTATGAAATTCTAGAATGTAAGGTGTATTCGTTCTAATTCCTCGTAATTCCCTTGTTAGCCCTAAAAAACTACTTTTTATCCTGTGTATCTCTTGTAGCAAAAGAATGAAAGTATCTCTGTGTCGATTGCACGTATCTCTTACTTTTCTGGACTAACTGATTTACTTGTCACTAACCAACAAATTCCTAACATATTTATAATTATGTGGTTTGGTCACCGTGCCAATTTTCCTTATGCCATTCTAGGTTTTGACATTTTACTTTTACCACTCTTAACTTTTGACAATTATCACAATTGCCATTCCGTGTCAAAAGCAAAATTATTTTATTTTATTTTTATCACTCTTAGCTTTTGAAATGTATCACAATTGTCACTCTGAATATTTTACTTTTGCCAAGGGAGTGACAATTGTGATAATTGTCAAAAACTAAGAGTGGCAAAAGTGAAATGTCAAAATCTACAGTGACATAAGAAAAATTGGCAAAATCTAGAGTGGCAAAAACAAAATTCCCCCTTACGTAAAGGTACAGAGGGAGTATAAAGCAACAACTGCTAACAAATTGAACCGGTACAAACGACAACACACTACACGAGACCCACACTCACCCAGTGCAAGATACATAGGTGCCAAAGAGCTACAACAACAACACACCGAAAGACTCGACGTAGACTACAAGATAAGATAGAAAACATCACTATGGAGCCGTCGACGCTCTTCCGATGAGAAACCAAGAAGAGGTAAAGTTGAGAATCGACGAGCCCGTGCGCTCCAAGACGGTGCCTCCGGGAAGGGCACGACACTGCTGAGCTGTCACCGCCTGATCCAAGGATCAGATTTGCATCCGGAGCACGACGAAGGGTGGGAGCAACCATAAAAGAGACTTCAGGAAGATGACTATGCCCACAGGTGCCGCCTTCGTCGGTCTGGCCTAGACCAGACAGGGTTTTCACCCTGCTAAGCATCCTCCTCCTTTGACATCGGTGCAGTCAGACACATGAGCCCTAGCCGAACACCGCTGCAGACTGTCGAAATGACAGCCACCACGCCGCCCAGGCGGCCATGACCGCTAGCCGCTCGCGCCCGAGCCATGGACTCAGCCCACGAGCACCACGACTCCCACCACCTGAGTCGCCGTCCAGGAAACAAGATGCCCCGAAGGTCCTCCATGGATGTGTGATGAACCGACCAGCAAGCTCCCACCATTGATAGAGCTGTCAGTGACCGGAACGACCAAATCGATCAAGGAACAACTAGGTCGGGGAAGAGGCAAGGTGGGAGCGGACTACGTCGATGCCCGACACCCCTACTAGTGATAGGTGGCCCGACTCCATCGACGCCACCCATTCCTCCCACCACCTCTCTAAACATCACGCCTGACGCGCAACGAGGGCTCCCTACCTGGATCTGCACCTGGTTCAAAACGGCCACCCGCTCGATGGCGCGAGGAGCCGGACCGGCCACCACCAGCAACCATGGGAGAGATCCAGGAGCATCCACAAGAACTGCACGCAAACGAGCCAACGTCAAAGGCCTCCCGGCCGCCGCTGCGCCATGACCCGCACACCACCTTGAGCCGCCACCACACCGACACACCACACCATCATGAACCGATCCAGACCACCACCATGGATTCCCCACCATGCCGTGGCAACCAAATCCATCGAGGGACCACCTCACCATCGGCAACCGCCATACTGGCAGCAGCTGGTTGCGTGCCACTGCGGTCCACTCCCAGCACCACACGCCGGGTCGTGGCCAGCCCCCACACCGCCTACCATGGGTGAGCCGCCAGATCCAGATTGAGATGGGTCACCACCACTATCAGGCCCGCAACGCCACCACCACCACGGCCGCACCCAACAGACCACACTGTGTAGCCCTCCATGCAGGGGGCAACAGCCACCAGCGTCGTCGCGCCCCACACAGTGATGCGTCTTAGAACGACGAGGTCGTCCCATGCCGCCCACAACCGGTTGGAGAGGAGAGGAGTGATGGGGAACATTGCATCAAAATTAAAAAAATCGTAGGGAACACCCAAGATCTAATCTAGGAGATTGATACGTCTCTGTCATATCTACTTTTTCTAATGCTTTTCCTCTTGTTTTGAACTCTAATTTGACATGATTTGAATGAAACTAACCCGGACAGGCGATGTTTTTAGCAAAACTACTATGGTGTTGTTTTTGTGCAGAAATAAAAGTTCTCAGATTGGAACGAAACTTTTTGGAGAACTTTTATACAATAAAAGAAAAATACTAGAGCCAAGAACCACCGAAGGGGGGGACCTAGGTGAGCACAACCCACCAGGGCACCCCCTCCCCCTTAGGCGCGCCCAGGTGGGTTGTGCCCACCTGGTGGCCCCACAGACCTTGATTCCAGCGCTGTAAAATCCTATTTTTCCAGAAAAAAATAGGAAGGAAGAATTATCTCGTTCGTGATACGGATCCACCACCACCTCATGTTCTTTATTAGGAGGCCAGATCTGGAGTCCGTTTTGGGCTCCAAAGAGGGGAATCTTCGATCTTCATCATCATCAACCCTCCTTCATCACCAATTTCATGATGCTCCCCACAGGGAGTGAGTAATTCCTTCGTAGGCTCACTGGTCAGTGAGGAGTTGGATGAGATTCATCATGTAATCGAGTTAGTTTTGTCAGAGCTTGATCCCTGGTATCCACTATGTTCTGAGATTGATGTTGATATGACTTTGCCATGCTTAATGCTTTTCACTTTGGGCCCGGGTGCCATGATTTCAGATCTGAACCATTTATACTATCACCATTATATCTATGTTCTATATCTGATCTTGCAAGTTATATTCACCTATTACGTGTTATGATCCGTAAACCCCGGAGTGACAGTAGTCGGGATACTTTTTGGTGATGACCGTAGTTTGAGGAGTTCATGTATTCACTATGTGCTAATGCTTTGTTTCGGTTCTCTATTAAAAGGAGGCCTTAATATCCCTTAGTATCCATATGGACCCCGCTACCACGGGAGGGTAGGACGAAAGATGTCATGCAAGTTCTTTCCATAAGCATGTATGACTATTTATGGAATACATGCCTACATTATATTTATGAACTAAAACTAGTTTTGTATCGCCCTAGGTTATGATTGTTATATGATGAATATCGTCCAACGAATCCATGGATCCAATGCCTACGAATTTCTCTTATATTGTTCTTGCTAAGTTACTACTGCTACTATTACTGCTACACTTGCTACAAAATCGTTGCTATCATTGTTACCGTTATTGTTACTGTTACCACTGCTATCAAAACTATCATACTACTTTGCTATTGATCACTTTGCTGCAAATAATTAATCTCCAGGTGTGCTTGAATTTAAAACTCAGCTGCTAACACTTGCAAATAGTCTTTGGCTCCCCTTGTGTCGAATCAATTTGGGTTGAATACTCTACCCTCGAAAACTGTTGCGATCCCCTATACTTGTGGGTTATCAAGACCTTTTTCTGGCGTCGTTGCCAGGGAGCATAGCTATATTTGTTGAGTCACTTGGTATTATTATCAATTTATCACTGTGAAGAATCTGAAGGATACCAAGACTAAAATATTTCCCTCTAAGACGAGGGGAGGTAAGGAACTGCCATCTAGCTCTACATTTGATTCACCTTCTATTTTGAGTAAACTTGCAACACCGCCACATGCTATTAATTCGTATATGTCGCAAGTTATTGATGATTCTATATCTATGGATAATGCTTATGATGATGCTAGTACCTTGCTTGATGATAATGTGCCACTAGGTGAATTTCTTGATGAACAAATTGCTAGAGCTGAAGTTATTGAGAATGCTGAAACTGATGAAATCATTGAATCTGGAAATCTTGAGACACCTATTAGACTTAGTCCTCCTAGATATGAATTTCCTAAGATACCGGAAGGTTATGTTATGGATGAGGAGACAACTAGAGACTTTCTTGCTCGCAATGATAGGGATGATCTTAAGAAATTATTATGCAAACTGAAGGAGAAATCTTTGAATGCTAGAATGAAACCTGATCCTAAGTTTTCTACTTCACCTATCTTTGTTGATGATAAGGATTATGAATTCTCTGTCGACCCAGAGTTGATTACTTTGGTTGAATCTGATCCTTTCCATGGTTATGAAACTGAAACTATTGTGGCACACCTTACTAAGTTGAATGATATAGCCACCCTATTTGCTCATCTAAGAAAATTTGCTACTATTATATTCAAGTTATTTCCATCCTCATTAAAGGGTGATGCTAAGACTTGGTATAATACTCTTGCTCCTGGTTGTGTGCGTAGTCCCTAGGATATGATTTACTACTTCTCTGAAAAATATTTTCCTGCTCATAAGAAACAAGCTGCCTTACAGGAAATATTTAACTCTGTGCAAATTGAAGAAGAGAGTCTCCCACAAGCTTCTCCAATTGTTGAATGTTTTGCCTGATCATCCTCTTAAGAAAAATGAAATACTTGATATCTTCTATAATGGACTAACCGATGCTTCTAAGGAGTTCCTAGATAGTTGTGCTGGTTGTGTTTTGAGGGAACGAACTGTTGAACAAGCTGAAGAATTACTGAATAACATATTGAAAAATTATGATGATCGGACTCTTCTTGAACCACCGCCTAAACCCACTCCGAATAAGAGGAGTATCTTATATCTCAGTCCTGAAGATTTGCAAGAGGCAAAGAAATGTATGAAGGAGAAAGGTATTAAAGTCGAGGATGTCAAAATTTTACCTCCTATTGAAGAAATACATGGGCTTGATACACCACCACTTAAGGTGGTAGAGGTAAATTCTTTAAAGAAATTTAATGGTAATGACAATCCTTACAATATGCATCCTAGTCAATGCCTTTTATGAGTTTGAT